TTCTAGCACAGATTTCATGAGTGATCTTCTCAGGACTTTATTTACTAACAACTTGAACGGATGCATATATGACCAACTTGAGCTAAAGCCAACTTACGCCTTAATTGATCAAAGGTGCAATGATAACATTATTTTGGATGGTCAGAGGTAAAGCCCTTTGCTTTAACTCACCATTTATCGGCTATCTTGGGCCTGTGTAACAGAAGAAGACATACGCCTTGCTAGTCAGGCGGTGTTGCAATTCGATGATTTCCGTAATTTTCTATATTTATCTCATCGCTGTCTAGAAAGTGACGACGATCAATTTTTAGGATTTATGAGACTTCATGTGACGTCTGGATCGTAGACGGCAAGAAAGAAAAAGACTTTTGGTTACTTTTACCGATTTGCCATGTGACCCACTTTTGCAGTTTTAAAAAAGTTTATTCAAGGCATATTCCTATACTAAGGCAGCATATTTATCTCTGTCAAGAAAGTGACGACGACGACGATCAATTTTTAGGACTTAGGAGACTTCATGTGATGTCTGGATCGTAGACCGTACGGCAAGAAAGAAGATGAAGACTTTCGTTTAATTTTACCAATTTGCCATGCGGCTCACTTTTGCAGTTTTAAAAAGGTTATTCAAGGCATATTCTTATACTAAGGCATCGAGGAAGAAACCTCTCATCTTATTGCTATGGCCAATAGTAGTCTAAAATGGGTCAAACTGAGTGACGAATATGCTAGACTTTAACAGCGGTTGCGAGTTACATGCGAACAATGTGTCGAATTTATTAAGTAAATTTGAACGTATTTCCAATCAGAAAATCGTCAGCTTCAAACAAGAAATCGAGTGAGATAGATCCGCAATAAACATTCACTCAACGAATACATAGACCTGTGTGCTTACCTAAGGAACTTCGTTATTGCTTGTGCACCCTTGGGACGATTTGAAGTTTTGGCGATAAACTCACACCACTCAGAGCTAAGTGGCGGAAACCATGAATGATGGGTATAATTAAATAAAAGATTCAAAAGAAAAGACCTTACGATTCTGTAAATGTAGTTCCGCAACTGCCTTTTCACTTTGTTAAATCATGTTACGTGATTGGATGAATAATAATTTTAAGAAAATAGACATTTTTTGCGCCCTAAACTTTTAGCCCGTTTGAAATCCGTTTCTTTTTCCTTCAGAAATTAGTTCCTTTGTTGCTGATTTGTTTGTCTTTTCAAGAACTCATCTTCAAGTAGATCTTGAAAAGTGCTGCTTATCAGTTTTTGGTAGCCTCTTCATATCTTTTGAAGCCTCGATGAACTGACTGATAAAGACAATTTGGAAGATACCATACGAAAACGTAGGGCAAAAAATTTTAATGACGGAAATAGTATTTACCGTTGCATTAACGAAAACAAACGCACGAGGAAAGCCGGCTTCCGCGCCATTTAGAAGTTCATCTATGTCAATGAAAGAAGGCTAATGATGTTTATCCTCCACACAATGTGTAAAATTGCCAATGATAACCTTAAGCAATTCACATATAAAAAGTTATGTTAATTAAACTTTCGTGAGCTAAAATACGGATAGGAGAAACGGAAGATTTGATCTGATCGAAACTAGTTGCTAATAATAATTGCTTTCCCATCCCAGACACGGTTTTCACGCAAGCTTCTTAGCAAGTGTTTATTAAGTCTATTTTTTACGTCTGCCGTGCGCACAGGCTTTTAATTAAACATCAAGGTTGTCAGCAGATGCAGATTTTTCTTTATGTTTTCTTTTTCTTAACATAAGACAGAAGCATCCTGATTTATTTGCAGAAAAGCGAAAGCAAATGGGGAAATGTTTTATCGAAATTGAGTGTGATGTGTGTCAAAACTGACAAGCAAAGTTATGTTCAGTTTTTTATCTCAAAGAAAGAATGATACTCGCTGTTCGTCTCAGTGATCACATCAACAGAGCGACTGAAATCGGCAAGCAAAGGATCTTGGACATAAGCCGGTCAGGCACAACTTATTAAGCGAAATTACCGCGCTCATTAACAGGACATAGCGCCGTTAATTACCACGCGAAACGCAATTTAAGGCTTTCAGATAAAAAGAGTCATCGAAACAGACAAGAACTTGACAAGTGTTTTCGAAACAGGAAACATTTTTGCTGAAAAAACTGAACGAGCAGACAGATCCAAATTGAACAGTCCGTCAGGTACGATCAATGTTTCCATCCAGTATCTACAATGTTAGGATAGCAAAACATACTTCTATATTCCCACCAATGAGAAAGCCCGTTTTGTTTTATCGTTCCTAGTTTCTAAAAGCTTTTCCTTCAAACTCGGCATCGATCAGACCCTTTAAGTTAAATTGTAAACTCGAACATTGCAAACTTCGCTGGTCTCGACATAGGCTACAAAGCTTCAAGTACGCAAACCTGCCGTAAGCTAATTCTTTTGCTTTTGCCAGTAATATTTGAGGTGTACGATAGTAATTTTGGCGGAGAGTCATCGAATGTTCACTTTAACTTAACGAAAACGGGAAACAAAAAAAGATTGCATGAGAGACCTTTCATTTCTCAAAATCTGTAATTTACTGTCAGAACGATAGATTTAATAACCAGAGCTCAGTAAGAGTTTGTTTTTACGATGTGTTCTTTACATACACTATATCTGAATATATATTTTTTAATTATTGTATCCAAAACTTGAAGCAATCGCCTCTATTCCAGCGTTTTTCACAGGTTCAAGATCCTCTAATTGAAACTCTTTGAGCTAATTTCAATAGTGACTCGGAAGGTATTCTTTTTCACAAATTCCGGTACCTTTAAAAGTATTATCTTTTGCTTTCTTTCTTTTTGAAACATAGATGCGTCACGGTCACAAAATAAATACAGTAGAATTCAAGTGTTTCGGGTATTGCTTAACAACATCATTATTTCAAAAACTTCTTTTCATTGACATTTTCTTTAATTTTTGTGTCACATAGCAAGTGTTCCTAAGCAAATGTACTGTAAAGTAACTTCCCTTTTTTCCTTTTTTTGTTCACGAGCTTTCAGTAGCTTTATTTCTAATTCAGAATGAGGTATGGGCTAGTACCTGGGGGCGACTATCGAGTAAAGGGAAAAATATTTCTAAACGAATACACGGAAAAAACGTACTTCAACTATTTCCTTGTAAACTTTATTTCTGTAATGTGAACTTTTTTCTGTAGAAACTATGGTGTCTTCTAAAGCATTTTTCGTTTCATTCCTGGTTTCTTGCGTTCTTCTCTCGGTTTACTGTCAAAAAGCTGAGGAACAGGGGCTTCCCGGCATTCGCTGGGGGAGACATTTTCAAGAGGATGACCTCACTCAAAGAGGTGGAGGAGGAAAGCTTTGGAGAGTAATGGAGCAAAAAAGAAACCATCATTATCGATTAAACGGTAAGACATGCAAAGATGTAAAAGAAGATGTAAAAAAGCAGCAATTTTGGTCTTTACCCTTGAATTTGATCAATTTGTATTTGTTTAACCGAGTAAAACCTGATAATTTCACTTTTATTGTACAGTTTTCATATCAAAAATAAAAAAAATTTTTCATATAAAAAATAGAAAATTAAGTTAATATTGTCAATGAAGGTTCCCGTTTAAATTTTTTTATATTGCATAGAGATAGGTTAGTGATGTTCCTGAGGCTACAAAAATGAGGGGAATGTCAATGCTGCCCTAAGAATTTTTAACTGGAGGGCCTCAGTGTGGTTAGCTGTCGACCCTTACGAGAGTAACGGAAGCTCTCACATCTAATTACCTTTTATATCTGGATAACATATGACTCACCTCGCGAATGAGGGCTAATTTGTTTTTTATAGCCGCCATTTTGAAAAAAACTTACGCGTCCGAGGTCTGGTACGAGAAGAGGGCGGGGTTAGGAAAAAAGAAGCCGGCGAAAATGGTTCTTATTCATAAAAAAAAATGATAATAATAAAATGAAATTGTGATAATAGGAAGAGGAATCCCTTTTCTAGAATCAAATGTCTTAAGATATGCTAAAATACGTCTTTTCATTTCAACAGATGGAGTCCAAAAGCAAGAATCGTAGGAACAGTAAAAAATCCTCAATTAAAAACCTTCGTGAACAAAAGGGATCCCTGTCTGTTAAATACATGATACTTCATCAACTGAGAGTTCATGACTTTTAAAGAAATACTAGAATCAGTTCTGTGTTTGGAGAGTACATCAAGTCGTGTGGTAAATGAGTTCTCCGTACATGCCACGTCAGTGATTAACTTCTAATGTAAATGTAGGCTTATCTTTGCTGTTATTCTCGGCTTATGTAATTCGGATATTGTCATAAGTCACTGAATAAATTGCTGCTTTTGATCCCGAAAAGTCTATCTCATTGTTCCATCCGAATATTCAATTCAATAAGTTTCCTAATGTAACATACGTCAATTTATATTCTTAAGATTGTATGTAAGCATGACTATAATATTCTGATTAATTTCTCTGAAAGCAAGCACATTTAAATGGAGATAGAAGGGGTTATACGAAATAAATGGGGCAGGTTTCTAAAGAAACTGCGGTAGGTGAGTATAAAAGGGTAATTTAACACTATCAACAACTGAGTTGATAACGTAAAGTGACCTCCGTATAAAGTTTCAAAGCTGACGTTTCGAGCGTGAGCCCTTCGTTATTCGCTCGTTGGTTATACGAAATAATCAATTTGAATAAAAAATGATCCTCTTCCGACACATGTCTCATAGAAGAAACTTTCAGTTGGAAACATTGTGCCTGAGATCAGTCGTTTTGGTTGCTGTTTTTAAGCTTGAAATTCGTAGCTGAAGTTTAGCCCATGATACTTTTATGTTTTGTTGCAAATTACATTTTGAACAGTCTATAGTTTTCTCGGTCTTTCCATAGCATTTTTCATTTTTTCAATTTAAAAAAATTTGTTAGGCTTAAACAACGTTTAGCGAGACGGTCAGAACGGAGATTCTCAGGAAATCAATTTGCGAAATCTTATTATGAAGTCAAATAAGAGTTTAAACTTTTTTTTAACGGTTTGAGCTCTTCTTTATTCATTGTTACTTTATTGTTACCTTGTTTCATTATTTCTACTCACACAATGTGGCTGAGATTCCTCTATAACTGCGGCATGACCAAGCTAATTCTATATGATAAAAACCCCATTAGCGCAAACTTTTTTTAGGATAATCCATAAGACATTCGGGGTCATAAAGGTTACCGAGGGTAAATTTGTTAAATGGTTCTCCATATGAGACATTTTTATCAAGTGGTTGTTGTTGAGGACGAAGCTCGAATCAATTATCACGCTGAGGATTGACTGCAAATAATCTAACTAGCCTGTTTGAATATAAATTTGCTTGTCATTCAAAACATAACAAAAAGAGAGGTTCACAACCGTACATTATTTAAAAGGGCGCAATCTGTGTGGTCATGGATTAAGTAACGATACTTGGGTCTTTGTGTTGTCGCCATTTTTTGCGATTGCGCATGATCAAGAAGATGGTCACGCTCACAACTGCTATAGAGACAATACCACTGACGACCGCAATGATTGCCACAGTTGTTGTGAAAGACTTCTCCCCATCCAGGTGATCCCCATCAAGGTGATCAGATCCTGCTGAACGAAGAAAACGAAAGCTAGTTATCTGTTGCTCTGTCCAAAATACATTTTATTTCAAAGGTTTTAGCATCCGTGCTCACTTTTAAGAAAAATATAAATCAAATTTCTGCCTTCCTTGATCTCTTTTGGAATGATGTGAACATTCTACAAGTCTTTTACTCCTTTTGGTATTTAAGGCCACCAGCTGATGCAGTTTCCTGTCTCGTTTCCCACATACAGGAAATCTGAGGGTCTTAATGGGGATAAAAACTTTGCCGTTAGGCGTAAAAATTGACCAGTTTGAACCGTTAGTCGTAGAAAAGTTTATTCGCAAATTTTCTTTTGAACCATAACTAGAGGAAATTAACTGTTAGCCGCAAAATGGCCAAACTTTTAATCAACAGGCGCAAAAGCCATAACCCCTCTGAGACCCTCAAATCGTAGCTTGATCAACGAGCTGAAATTTCAGCGTGGTCACCAATCAACTGAAAAGCATTATCTTTCAAGTTTCTCCCAATCACCAGACTAAAATTTTAGTGAGGAAACACATATCCACATCTGATTCATGTTACCAAGATCTCGGTCTGAATCCCCATCCTATTAGTTTTTACCCATTCTCGGAAACACGAGTTGTTATAGAATAATGTTCAATTAAGTTTCGAAAACAATAAAGGACTGCTTTGGTTTTGCTTACTTCCTTATTTCATTCGTCCAGAAAACTCACGCCCATTCTGTCAACCAATCAGATTCAAAATTAAAACCAATAGTGGTTTAGCTTGGTCACATGCGTTTTTCCGCGCTTCAAGTATTTTGCTTGTCTTTACTTCGGTTTGCATTGACTCTTTTTGATATATCTTTTCCTCTGATTAGCTGGCTGATGTTACTGGTTCAGTTTTGGTTTTGCAACACAATCGTTATGCTATCTATTGCTATGCTATAGGATTCCGAGACGATTATCGATTAACTTTGACGCAGCCGGTTTGAGTTGTGATAAGAATTCCCTTGCCACTTTCCCTGAAAGGACTTAACAAAAAGTATCCACGAAAGAAGGACTAATTAATCATTTGAAAGCCATGAAACTCACTTACCATTTTCCTCTTGTTCATCACTCTCGAACTTTAACGGCCCAAATGTCACACGATACACCTCAGACTCGTCTACTACTGAGCGCTTTTTTCTCGAATCTGGACAAGCAGCTTGAGTAGGGCACTCACAAGGGGAGTTTCCCTCGCTCGCCAAGCAGACCTTGAGATCGCAGTGGATAAAAACCTCATTTTCTGCAGCCTCAAAGTATCGGTAAGATTTCATTGAGAAGTTTTCTGCTTTGTCGTCCTCTTTACAAAAGTACGATAAAGTATCTGAAGCGTCTTCGCTCTTATCTGAGTTGCCGCAGCTGTTGATAAAACGTAAAGTGACCATCTAATATCAAACTGCGTAAGATCGTGAGATCATACAAAAAGTTATATTCAACCTCAAAGCATTCATAATCTGTTGAATATCTTCGCTTGCACGGCACTATTCTGAACAAGTAACGTAAACAAATATGCCCCAGTTAGCCTGCGCAGTTGATCATATTGAAATATTTATTTGCGCAATAAAAGCCTTAAATTGTTTCTATTACTACTAATATTAATATTATTATGCCCAGATGATATCGTCCCGTTTCAAGCCCTGCGTCCAACGCAAGTAAAATCCTCATTTAGTCCTTTAAGATAGGAGAGAAATTTTGCAATCGTTACAGAAGAAGAAACAGACGTTTTTGTTCGTGAAGTCCGGTGAAAGAACACTGTAAGGACGACATTCCACGCATTAAGCATTTTTGACCGTAAGCTGTTTGCAAACGTTTTTTTCGACGTTCTGAATGAATAAGGTATCTAATCCGCTAAGCTTAAAATTTTCTCGACCTTCACTTTCAGAAAACTACTCTTTTAAGAACAGAGAACAACTGCGAACAAGCTACCACGCATGTTCAGGAGCCTACTTGAGGTAATTTTGATTGTGCGTTGATGCTGCAGATGTGTACTCCATTTGTAAAATATTTTATTAACAGTTGCAAGTAATAATGCATCGATTGTTTCCGCCAACAAGCCGTGCGATTGGTTCGAACGTGTCACGTGACTTGAATCTGGGAATTATCCTTGCTATAATTCTCCCGAGTTATATGCATCAGTTGTCGAGGCACACGTCCGATACGATTATGTACACATTAGTTGATGAATAACTAGATCAAGAGTGAAATTCTTACCCTTCCACTATGAGTTCAAATCTACCGTCGTTAGAATTTGCATCGCTGCTCTTTGATGACCAACAGTTTTCGAGATACAGGTCAAGATTGGGTGCCGCACTCTGAGTTTCGACCATAACCTTGAAGTACAAAGTTTGATCTAATGCAACAGGATTGGGCACGCTATTGTCATGAGTGGGATCACTGTAGACTTCGAGAGTAAAGGTGAAACTTCCTTGGCCTAGGAAAGAGAAAAAAATAATAACAAGCTGATTATCCTTGTGTTTGAAGTATGGCTTCTTTTCTGCAATTACTGAAATTGCAGCTTACATGAAAAGATAATTTCTTTACTTTGATTTCATCCGCAGCTGGTAAAACAGAATTTATTCCTTTCAAATTATGCCATATTTACCAATAGAGATAAACTGTCATCCAGCAAAACTTTTCAAAAATGACCTGCAATTTCCACTGAGTTTGCTTCACAAGGCTTATAAACTGATTTAATAGATCATCATCTCGGCATTTACGTTTCCCGAACTGCCGAAGAAAGCATTTGTTGGAAGTTTATTTGAAAATAATGGAGATGCTAGATAAACAGTTAAAGGTTAAGAATATTTATAAGCCTTACAATCAGTGCTATGAAAGCAACTTACTTGAGTCATTTGCTGCCCGGTTCTTAACTGGTACGAAGGATGCTGTTGCTCTATCTTCATTGTCATAGTCACATGACACAAAGTACAGATGGTCATATACACGCAGCTGCCCTGTATCTCCTCGGGCGTTCTGTTCAGCTTTGATTTCAATTATATATTTTATGCTACCGGGGAGCTGTTCTGCTGTCAAGGAGCAGTCTGGTAGCACAAGGTCTGAGAAGATGACATCGCTTCCGCTAAATGTTGGCTGACATTCGGTTTTTTGCTGTATTGCCCACTGAGTTTCGTTCCAAGTGTTTAGATGTTCAACTTTGCTAATATTTATATTTACTGTGTGATTGGCCTTGCAAACAACGCTGCCTATGGTATTTTGACCTGATATCAGAGAAAAACGAATCCAGATCATGGATGAATAAGTAAATTATGAAAAGATATCTAAATCGATGCAATAAAGAGTAGATGCAATAAAGCGCATCGTTCATCCAGATAAAATGTCTGTTAAGCACAAGGCGTGTGAGTTACAGTTCAACAACAAACAAAATGAATAAATGAATCGAAATTTCTAAGTATTCGCCCATTTCTTTCAATCTTCACCTTTCTATTGACCACCACATTTCATATTTAATGATTAGTGTGTGTATAACCTCTTCAAACAGGATTTTTTACTTTTCTGGTCTCGTGAAAGGCGGAGCTGCTTCACCATTGATGCATCGCGAAGAAAATGAGCATAAACAGCGTTAAAGCTGTTAAATCCGATTTGCGTCACTCACTCATTCTTAGGCAACCCTCGCTCATTTAAAGTTCATTTTTCCGAATTCTTAGTCTGCCTATTTTTCTCACTGACCTATATATTTTGTAGTTTCTCACACTTTGAATGTAAATACAAAGTTCGCTGAGAGAAGAGCTGAACAGAAAGAGGCAAAGCCTATTCAGATCTTGAACTCCCACATACCTGTCACGTATTGAAAAACAAGCACAAGTAATGCAAGCAAAACTCTTTCCCTCATGATGTACTAGACGCCGATTTCTGTAACGAGGAAACCAACACTCTGTTAACATTAATATCATTATTTTGCTTGAATTCTTACCATTTAAAAAAAAAAACAGTAAACACAGAACGAAATATACTAAGAAGTCTAAAATCAAAAGGAAATCTTAAAATTCCAATAATAAAATCCAAGTTGTGTTTCCGAAATACAACTTGGGTTTTTGATAAACTCCTATAGATATAATGATAATTAGGATAATGAAACTCAGCTGTTCTAAGCAGTCATCAAACCACAGATGATGATTTTTTTTTTCGTTTGTACTTGATGGTTTTATGGTTCAAAGCTGCAGGGCGTGTAGAAGAAAGGCACTTATTCATATGGTAACCAAACTAAAGAAACAAAGCAAAAACAGCTTCTTTCTAGATTAAGTGACCTGCTGTGAATTACTCGATAACAATATCCACTACTCACCTTGCTTTTCATAAAAGTATTCCAAGATCTCGCGTGATTTCGTATATGATAACAAACATAATTTTCATTTTCATAGATGCTTCATTCTTAACTGGATCCACCCGGTAAAAGTAATACGACGATTCTAGTAGCATGCACAATCTGTCTAACGAAGTGACACTGAGTTTTTTTTTTTTTTCAGGCCTTATTTCAACCACTAGTTCAGTAGTGTTCATAACTGCGAGGATCGCCTATATTCGTTTCTTCAACCGCAGTGCACATACATGATTTTCATATATATTTACAGTCATTTATTTAATTTGTGTTCAGCAATGACTGGTAAACTGTGTTTCAATCAATGAAATAACTGACGCTGTTCAGTGTTGTGAATCTTCTAACCACTTACCTTAGTGTCTCACTATCTCACTACTTTGTTGAATCTCTAGGCCCCTGTGACTCTACCAACGAAAGCAAGCGGCTTGTTTTCTGAAGACTGAAAACAAATTCACGGCAAACTGGAAAGTATGCCGTGCCTCACGTTTATCTGACTTCAGCAGGAGAATGACTTGGCTGACTTGTCAAACAGAATGCAGCAGAAAACATAAAACAAATCACAAAAGAGCAAAAGAAATTTAAGCTAATTAGTCTCCTTGAAAGAATAGCGAACATCACAGAGAGTCAGTAACAATTGTTGCTCATCCATCCATGGATTCGAGAAAATGAACTCTTCAACAAAGAATTTAAAACTTTTAAATTGTCTTATTGTACACCCTCGCTTCATGTTGAGATTAGATTTAAAATGATAGAACACGAATTGACTTTTTACATCTAAACATGTTTAAACGTCGCTGAAAGTTTTGCGTCTAACCCCATGTTAATACAAATCAAAGAAACTTGCCGGTGGCTGCAATCTACTCTCGATTTATTTACTCATGATTAATTGATGGCATTTGTTTTCATGACAAGAGGGTGCAGAAATTTTTTTCCGGCCTTCAGGCAATTCCTTTGTTTATTTGGTAAGTATGTGGGTGTTTATAGACAAGGTTTTTTTTTAAGTGTCTGTGAATATATGAAAATCATAATTATGTGAACTGCGGATAACGGAGTGAACATGAAAGCGATCTTTGCAGTAATAAACACTACTTAAGCAGCAGGCCTGAATCTCTTTCAGGCCTTATTTCCTCTACTGCTTAGGTAGTGTTCATTACTGCGAACATCGATTCACTTCTTTATCCACAGTTCACACATCACCGGTGTTCCAGCCCATGAACCTGTATGTATAAACTGCTTCCAGAACGTATAAACTTCCTGAGACAAGGTCTCGATGGAATAAGACATGAAAAGCATCACTAGTTGCAGGGTTGTAATGATAGCTTATTAGTTTCATAGATAAAGTATGTTGTGAAAAAAACTTAAGTAGAAACTGAACGCAGCTGCACACAACACACAAGGGTATACTGATCACCCCAATCAGTTCTGGCCGAGTGAACTTAGCTCCCATTTTAAAAATTTCTGGACGTCTTAGGTTTAAGAATGTCTATCTTCGGACTTTACGTCAAGGATCCCCTTCCTACACTTAAAATTCGATGGCAAAGCCACTCGCCTGCCAGAGAAGTCTGGATTCTTACAGGTCCTGAAATGCCCCGAGACAGTTTGTCTAATATCATTCACTTATATGACCAGTTAGATAAAAGAATAGAGAAAGAAACCGTTCCTTTCGAAACTTAACTTGGTGCTGCGTCAGTGGGAGAGTATAACAGGGTTATTAAGTATTATCAACTGAGTTGATAACGTAAATTGGCCACCGTAAAGAGCGAATAATTCGCTCTGACGAAGGGCTAACGGTCAAAACGTTAGCTTCGAAACTCTTTACGGTGGCCAATTTACGTTACAAACTCAGGTGATAATAATAAATTACCCGCTTAGATAAGAGCCTTGTACCTCATAAATTTTAGGTCTACATTTTAATTTTAGCTTTCTTGAAGCATCCAGAACAAGCGAGACTAAAATAGAAAAAAATTCACAATGCCAAAAATAAAAGAAGCAAAACAAAAACAAAAAAGAAAGACAAAAAGAAACCCCACTGTTTTATTTAAATAGTGATGGAATACCTAGCTATGTAAGGTAACGCACCATATAGAGATTAGTTTCTTTCTCTTTGACGTAAGACATAAATCAAGATTTAGGCGGAACAAAGGAAATTTGAAGATACAAGGCTTTATCGAGTATCGCGATATGCGCATTTCTTCCCTTCTATAATAAATGTATACAAATTATTTCATCATATTGGTCTCCTTAATTGTTTTCATTTTGTCGCAAACCACCATTCGTTTCCACCAGGCCAGTTTCTTGCATGATGTCAGCTAATGACACTATCAGCTACACTGTTTTATATTTTCATGACGCTCTCACGTAGCGTCGATTGTGTTAAAGTAAAGAAGATGGGAAAAACAAATTGAAGTAAAGTGTACTCCCCTATTATTAAATATTAACCATCACTTGCAATTCATTGCATCTTGTAAATAAGATACGCTTGATTAAGTTACAGCGGACGTTTAGGCCAAATCATTATACGCAAAAGATAAAGAAACTTGTTTCTCACTTTTTCACGAATCAAGCGCGTATTTTCAGGGCCATAGCTAGCATGAGGTAAGAGGAGGCAATTGCCTCGTCTTGATTTTCGCTCAAGATTGACTTTTCTGAAGAAAATGCCACGGGAAATGCTTAAAAGAGCATTTCTGAGCCTCTATATTTCAAAATATTGCAAAACAGACCCCCCCCCCCCAAGCCCCAAGCGGCTCGCACCTTCGGCGCTCGAAACTTGCCTCGTCTTGTTATGAAGTCTGGCTAAGGTCCTGATTTCATAAAAAAGCTCTGTCAGTCAGAGGGCGCGGTTTTCACGCACATTTAATCACAAATTATGTCAACATTTCACAGAAAAGTTCTCCTTGGGATCGGCTTTATCCTACCTCTCCCTGCCTACGTTTTGACAACCACCACACGGGAAAAATTTCTAGCATTGAGTTCAATCACAAGCGCGTTTCTCGGATTTCATATCCCTTAGGGCCATCGTCTTTCTTTTTCTTAAAGAAGAACAGAACCAGCGGCATCAGACCAGCTAATTGTGTCACAATACCAGCCATAAAAAATGCCCAGGTGTAGCAATCAGACATATCCACCAAGAGTCCTGGAGAGAAAGAAAAAAAACGTTGATAAATAAATAGGGTTTGTGACCGTCAAAGGGACTAATTTTCCAAATCGTTACCTATCAATAAAGGATATTAGTCTCATTTCGCAAGAAACATGGATATTTTTAAGTTTAAAATACCGAGAAAGCGTCCGCAACTCCGATTGTTACAATGAGACAACTTTTAAAGTTGCCAAAAGTTGGAATTGCGTTTTTCATCCAACATGATACTAAGACTTGGAAATTTTAAATACATGCGCTCCCAAGCTTCTACATTCGTAATGGATGTTTGCATGTTATACAAACTACAGCGAGGGAGACATTGTAGAGCTTGGATTTTAGTGTTAAAGTATATTCTTTCAATAATAATGGCTTCCAAACCTGCAACCGGAGGCCCGGCTACTATCCCCAATGACAATAACATATTACCTAGGCCCAATCCAGCTGCTCTGAGCTCCTCGTCTACACTAAACACAAGGAGGGAGTTCATCGTTGTGGTGAAGATGCCATCCCCAACGCCGTAAAAAACGGAAAAAACTTGAAGTCCCGTGTAGCTTCTTATCAATAGGAGGGAAATGATAACAAGTCCGATAAGCAGGTCTCCAAATTGGTAAATATAAATCACATTTATCCACTTTACGTCACACAGTCTCCCAGTTATAACGCGGGCAACGGAGGATGATAAACCAAGAAGAATAAAAAGCTGGGAGGCTGAATCAGCAGAAATGCCGAGATCGAGGCAATATTTTACCTGTGAACCAAGATCGAAAAGAAGTTAGTGACAAATTCTGGAAAACGTAAATTTTATTCTTGCATCTGACAGTATCAATCATATCAAATGTCCGGTATTGCTCTAAAGAAATATCCAGCAGACCTCGCGTTAGTCGCGTGTTTCTTTGTGTCCGATGTCGATGACATGTCGATTGCTAACTACTAGGGCACTTCACGTGCTAAGTGAATGAAAAAGAAGATGAGTTCTGAGCGGCCCAAATCTCTATAAATCGACCCTAAAACCACGTCAGTGACTAAGAAGGGCGTGGTTGGCAATCTTTTTATAGCCAAAGCCTGAAGGGTTTAAGTTTCCTGATGCAATCGTTTCCTAGCAGAAATCCCGACATTTCTACAAATGCGTGATAAGAACATAGTTCAAACGCAGCCGGGTGACTAGTTTGGGCTACCTGTGATAGGGATTACTGCAGACTACTTACTAGGTATAGCTGAGGTACATAATGTCCAAAATTCATCAACAGAAGACTTATCATCGCTACAGTGTAAGAAGGAACCTTGAACACAGACAAGTCCAACAGCTTTCGTAATGTTCCTGTCTTATTTGGATTCTTATTGTTCTTATCCTTTAGGTAGCTAGCCTTGACTACCACTGCTTGCAGAGATCTAGTTCTATTAAGCTTTTGCTCCACTCTATAGCAATCCTCGTTAATGTAATCTCTTTCTGTTTTTAAATTGACGTCCTCTCGATGTCTATCAATTACTGAAATTTCAGTATCTTTCTTTAATGTATCTATTTCCATCAGAGATATGGTAGACTCTTCGGCTCTCGAAAAATCGACAATAGGATCACTAAATGTAGCACCACAAATAAGCGCCATCACAAAAAAGGGTATACTCATCATCATGTATGTTCCTCTCCAGCCTACATTGTCTATCAGGAGCTGCAGCACTGGGCCCAGAATTAGGACTCCAATGCTGCCCCCGACTGAAACGATCCCTACTGCGAGAAACCGCCATTTACAAAAGTTCTTTGCTGTTATGAGAAGGTAAGATGAAAACAATAACGAAGAACCCAAACCATACAAACAGCCATATGTGGAAAACATCCACTGAAGACTGGTCGCATGTGCAGTTAGCAAAAAGCTTGTACCACACAGAAAACATCCAAGCATGGCAGGGAAGCGACATCCAATCATTTGACAGAGAAACGACGTCAGTGGACCGAAGAAAAAGGTCAATCCAAATGCAATAGATCCGACCCAAACTGGAATTGAATTTCAGTCAATTATGAATCAGTTAGGATAGATGAAAAAGAGAGCCGAAAGGTTACCACTTAAATTCACAGCTTTCCAGATTACAAATTGAGAACTCTGTTAAATTCACACCTAAGCTCTATGCTCGAAAGGAGAAAAAAGATAAAAAAACTAGACCAGATTGAATATTGAGAGAAAGAATTGCTTAATTCTGTTATTACAAGGACGAAATTCACATTACCAAGGATCATCCTAAGCAAACCTATCTAACTGCATGACGCATTTATATCATATTTTCGAGGAAATTTTTAGGATAACACATGCTAACTCACCAGTTTTTTGCCGGCTTTCCCCAAACTCGTCCATAACTTCAGGAAGCAACACTCCATAGCTAACTGCAAAACCAAGGTCCAGTCCTTGACACAAAGAGGCGCAAACGCAAACGAACCACGAAAACAAACTATCTGGCCGATGCTGCATAACTTTACCTATTTTCCTCATGTTCGTTTAGGTCGCGTTTCTTAAAACAAGATGTATAAGCATATATAACTTACAACCAATTCATAATGCTTTTTTGGTGGGCTGGTCGATTTGGCTCCTACAGCTATTGAGTACCATTTCTTTCGACCCCAAAATACGTTTACTACTATGGGGGTCCAAGTCTCCTCCACGTTTTTTGTTATAATTGACCACTAAATCTCCCCAAAATCCGTTTTAATGATTTAGTGGAACAGGAAAAACTTCTTAATTCACTGAGAGGCTTCAGCATTCTCACTGTAAATTCGAGAAGCTCTGGAGTCGCTTAAAAATTATTTTCCCAAGGATGTTTGTAGGATTCCTTGCAATAAGCCATCTATAAAATTGTCAACAACCCGAACTTGCACCACCTTGAAGTTTCCTTTCGTAAAGGAATTGATCCTCGTTCGTCGCGATCGGTGAAAAAAATCGCAAAGTGTGTCACCGGCAAGACACATATGATGCACCCTCCCCTCCCTCTCTTTAAAAATTGTTTCTTAGCCTTGAATACTGTTCAAAATCAACTGTCATGTACGTAAAGCTAATCATCACTCACCTCACGGAGGTTTGAAATTTTCGTTTTTTCAACTCAGTGTTTCTTTTCGGAGCATAACTAAACATAAACATAATGAGGTTCAAGGTCAATAAAAAGAGAATTGAAAGGCGGATTTTAGCTAAATAAATTAAAAAGTTTAGCAAAGCGTGGTATTCGATTATTCTGGCATTTTACATATACTGAGAACATCTCTATTAGGAACGTTTTGACAATCTTCTAATTCTTAACTTTTCCCGTATAAGATCCATACAGGTTTTGTATCGCCATGTTGAGACTATTTTTCACTGGTTCAAAATCGTTTTGTTTTGCATAGGACCATGTTTTTGCTGAAAAGACGGACTGCTTCAAAGCATCACGCAACAGTAACAATCAACAATAATAAAATGGGCTTCAAGAAATGTCAAAACTCCACATGGAAGTTTTCAGAGACAAAGCAAGTTTTCCCCGAATTAAAATTATTATATCTTAGGAAAACAAAATTAGGTACATGTACACAAGGATTACAGACGAAAATTGTATCCATGCCTTAATTATTTCCCAAAAATATTTGGCATGGTTTTATAATTTGTAAATTAGCAAATTCAGATTTTTGTAACATGTTGCGACTCCGAGGTTGTACGAGTACCGTATTTAACTAGGGTTAGATGGATGAATCATCGTTCCATGTATCATAATTATCCTAGGGGTTCAATTGTTCTGTTTATTTTATGGATATTGCGTCTGTTCTGCTGCGAGTATGCTATACAGCGTAGAAGGCGTTCGATTTAACCGAGAGCGAATGATTCAGTTAGACTAGCAAGCGCGCCAGCAGGTTCTCTATGATACCGATACCACTGATGATACGATATACATCCGAATATTCTGGATCGATCCTTTTTCCATAGCTTTAGAGTGGGGGCTTAGCTGCGTTGAGAGCATTTTTACTTTGAACGATTTCAATTATTTGACAAGTAATTTGATTTCGTTCCGAGTTCAATTAGTCTAGTTTTTAAAAAAGTTGTTTTTATCAGCGGGAAAGCAGGATCTAGAAAATACTTACCTTATGTAGAAGAACTTGTCCCTGACAGAATACGTAAATACTTTTTTTTGTTCAATCTGCTGTGTAATTCTGTCGGCAAAACTTGAATTTAAATGCTTACGCATGAAGCGTACTGAAAAACGTCAGCCAATTATTTTGACAATAGGAATAAGATGGAGGTCAAGATGAGCCCGCAATTAATCTTCCACCCGACTGAATATTCAAAATCTCTCTTTTCTTTCCCTCAGTAAAAGAAGTCTTTCTTCTTTCCGATAAACCATTAATCCTGAGACATCAGTTGCAGAGATTTTATGTCAAAACATTTGCTCAATGACTAAGTAGAGGCAAGCCTAGACATTTCGAAATGAGGAAAATAAATAAATTACCAGTAAAATGGATCCCTATGTTACAATAAAAGGTTTCTTGGATCGCCAGGGAGCTAACATTACAAGTTGCTAAGAGGAAATCCATGGCAAAAGGTTGTCGTTACGTCCCGAAAAAAAAAAAAAAAGACTTTGAGAGAGATTGACGTTTTTTCGCCACTGTTTTATCAGAAATGGATTTAGAAAATGTTTATCTGGGGGATTTAAAAGTTTTTTTTTAAATAACAATAAAATATTTCACAAAAATATTTAAATATTTTAAGAAATTTTTGCAATAAACTTCTACCTTGCGTAGGATAGAACTTGATATCGTTCATACGTCTTCATAAAAAAAACAAAAAACAAAAAAAAAACTGTCAACCCGGCAAAAACACACGACGCCTTCTGTCCAGTTACGCAGGCATCGGCGTCGACAAAATCAGGATTGGACCGAGTTGGACCGGATTGGATCGGACTGGATCGGACTGGATCACGGACCGGATCGCTAATCGGATCATGTCAATTCACCTTTTGGGCTTTAGATTTTACGGGGAAGTATATTTCAAGCTAGATGTAAATGTAAAGGTGGTCGAAATGGGGGATGCAAGCACATTGCAGCTGCCTTGTATTCCCTAGAAGATTTGTTAAACACCCGAGGTAAAGGTAGTGTAACCAGTGGCCATTATCTGGGTTAAAAAACCTATAGAAAATACTAAATCGTGCAAAGTGAAGGACCTGGTGATCAAAAAAAATTTTAAAAAAACCCTCACAAAAAAAGGAACATAAACACATTCATCCCCAGTATATTGACTGAGATGTTTGCGCTCCTGAAGGCAGGAATCCAAAAGATGAGGAATATCTCTGTCAATTCCCCAAAAAGATGTGCCTGTTAAAAACACCTGATGCACCTCCACTACACTTCCAAAGCTCACTCAGAACGGACAATGAGCCTTTTCGTAAGGCTAGGACAGGTATCATGAGTACCAAAGTACCCGAGATTTTTAAAGGCCATCCCAACATCTCTAGCAAAGATGTGTTGAGGTTGTTATCCTTCAGTGATGCAGAAAGAGATTATGTAGTGAGTGCCACATCAATGCAGTGGCAATGTGAGGAATGGTATATTCACAAAGCTGCTTTCATAACAGCTCAGAGGCCATTGAAAAAATGAAAAAGATGTCAAAAAGTTGGTAGAAGGTATTGTGCTACCCAAATCACCACACAGTTGTGGTCAAAGTCAGGAAGTGGAGCCACAAAACCCTAGAGGGTGGGGATTATTTCATGAGGAGAGTGTGCGTAGGGCATATCAGCAAGTTGTCAGCCATCCCCACCGCAAACTGAAACTGGTCCCAAAAGGCTTTCTAATTTCAAAGTCAAAGCCTTTCCTCGGCGCCAGTGAGGACAATATTCAGAAATGCACCCTAAAGAAGCTTGCCACGCAAAATTTCTAATTTATTTAGCATGATCCGTGATATGATCCGTGATCCGATCCGTGATCCAATCCATAATCCAAACGAGTACGATCCAGATTTTGTCGAAGCCGCACAGGCATGACGTATTAACTGTCCCTTTAAATGTCCTATTATACTGTCCATTTACAAGCATGACGCGTACCCTTTCCTATGAGTGCTCAAATCGGGCTGGTGATGACCATTCACGTTCGAGAATTTTGTTATAGTATTGATTAGGTCTGTAATCGAACGAGCGATTTCGGAAGACCACCACGAAGCGGGTGTCCGAAGGAAGAGAAATATAGCCTGGCTATAAAAATAAAACTGGCATAATGTTTAAATTCATTCCAATCATTACGAAATCATGCAGAGAACCATCACGGCTAGCTCATCGTGGCGAGTCCAGTCATCGCAATGAAGCAAGCCTCAGAAATTACATCGACCGCCCTACGAATGAACAGTTAAAAGCTTGCTCTGATATTCTTTTCAATGCGTTGAGTGGAAGGCCACATCAGTCACTGCAGCTAAGTTCTACGGCGCTGTCATGCCGAGCAATCGTCATGTTCCTGTGAATTCGGCAGTCGTTCATTCATAAAACACACGCCTTGAGCAGTTCATTTTCTAAATTATCATGTGAAAAGATTTGCGTGTTTTTTCTGAGTCGGATTTCGCTAAACATTTCGCCTCCAGATTCTGTATTGGAGACTGAAAAAAAATCAGGCAAAAGGGTTAAATTCGACTCTGCTCTGCTCTGTTGCGACGATAAGCCGCGATACGATGGACCTCAGCATGATCACAGTCGCTCTCATACCGTCATGATTAGTATGAATTTTAACAGTTATGCCAGTTTGGCTATATCTTTCATGAATCTTAATTAGCAAGTAGTTTCAACCTGATGGAAATTATCCTCACAAATCAGCTCTTGTTGCAGGATCCTTTTTTGTACCTGTGAACGCCTAAAATTTCTTTCTAGAGTAATTTTAAACCCATACATAGGTTTGTATTTCTCGAAATAGACCATACAAGCGCATTCATTCTTGATTAGATTTACTTAGGAACTCGACGAACAGTGCTCATGTTAGGATAAACATTACTCAACAACGCCGTGAGAGCACAATCAATAAAACTTTCCCTATTACCATTAAGTCCGTTCCGCGAGGTGCGATGCGATGAAAAGACATCAGCATTCGAAAGAGGCGCTAGTCGTTAACTTGTCTAACCTGACAGTGACGTCCGGAATATTCATACCCGCTGAGTGTCTAATTTCAAAGTATCGAAGAAATTCAGTGATTTCCCTTGCGAAAAAGGAGGTCATCTGAGTTGAATAGGTCGTCGAAAGGCATACCTGACAATACTTGTGGTTGCTTTCAAGGCAACAGACGTAAAGAGAAGTGCAACGGTTAGAATCTTCTTCGCCGTTAGGATTTAAATGAGACCGGTAAGTGTTTTATATTTATATGTTGATGATGTTTGTATGACGCTTATTAAATATAAAGGTGATTGTGTGGGTGCTATCTTTAAAAGAAGGAACGGGGAATAGGGAATGGGGAATCTTTAAAAGCGGGAATCTTTAAAATGGTAATCTTTAACGAATTCCCGCCTCAAGAGGGCAACTTTCACACAGATCGCTCATACATTTGGTCGATTTCATTCCACGCTTTAAAAGATTCTCCATTTTAAAGATTCCTCGTTTTAAAGATTCCTCGTTTTAAAGATTCCTCGTTTTAAAGATTCCTCGTTTTAAAGATTCCTCGTTTTAAAGATTCCTCGTTTTAAAGATTCCTCGTTTTAAAGATTCCTCGTTTTAAAGATTCCTCGTTTTAAAGATTCCTCGTTTTAAAGATTCCTCGTTTTAAAGATTCCTCGTTTTAAAGATTCCTCGTTTTAAAGATTCCTCGTTTTAAAGATCAGGGCTCAAAATAATTTTTCAGCTTTCAGCGTGAATTTGTAGGCTTTTGTCCAGGCTCATTTTTTCCCCGGCTGTCACTAATAAATTTCAGCATCAGAGTCTTTATTTTGATCAACATTTTTTGTTGCAGCAATCCTTTCCTAACAAAGCGTAGTGAAAGACTCAATTTTCCGGTGTTTGTTCAAGCGTGAAATAAACAACTTTGCCAAGACAAACGGCTGCGCTATTGTCAAGCACCGACTTTAATTTGAACGCGTGAGAAGGCTTAATAAACGACGTTAGACTGGATTTGACAGGAAAATAAATCTTGTTTAAAGGTAGTGTGTACGCGCAGAAACATAAACACGGTAATGTGACGGTGTGTACAAAAACTTGCATGTTTCACGCTTGAACAAATACGTAGAAAGCTGAAGACTGTAAACAAAAATACTCCCTGTGGCACGCTTCAAATTTCGAAACTTTATACTCGTTTATGTTTCCAAATAGCTTTTAAAGCATTTCTTGGCTGCTTTACTACCCGATATGGCATATTCACCATAACATTATGTCGAGTTTTGTCGATCATCTTTTCGTAAAAATATATATATATATATATATATATATATATATATATATATATATATATATATCTACAGCTGTAAGGCAAGGTGGTCTTGGGGTAAATTTTGACGCTCTGATTGGTCCTTTCCTCCTCTCGAAGTGAGTATTTTGGCACACGACTGCTCCAAGGAAAATTCAAATTTTCTGTTAAAAATGCAATAAAGAAATCCTTGCTAAGAAACTTCCTAACTGAATTATATCTACCTAGCATACGTAGGTTACTGCGAAGATCGCTTTCATATGCATTTCTTACACCGCAGTTCATATATATGATTTTCGTATATTCACAGTCTTACACGTAGGCTGACTAAAAAACTTTTAAGTTAAAACAATTATTTAACCTCCAGGCTCTTCATTTGTACTACTTTTGAGTGTGTTCTAATTATTTCCAATCATAAATCTGTAATGTACAAGAACGAACAAAGTATTACTGAACAATTCAATACCTTCATTGCAGGGGAAATGAACAAAATAATTTAAACGTTGGAAAACATTGAAAATAGAAGAAAAAGAAAACATACGATTTCATTTACAAATCAACTTGAACTTGCACAACTGAGGGAAATGATATGCTGGTCAGGAATCTGTCAACTATGCTGAACAATGAACTCGAGTAATATCTTAACATCACTTGAAGTGTCACCATCTTTCATCACGAAGAGGGACATGACAGGATGGTTACTCACCAAACAATTTCATGTGAAATCTTAACAACGTCTTTATTTTTAAGTGCTATTGAAGTATGGAAAAGTGCATTCGAATGTAAATATCTCGAAGGAATTGACAACTTCTCTAAGTGTGCCCACATTGTTACCTGGGTAACTTTACACCTACATAAAACACTTGGAGTGTTAGAGATAACGCAAATTTTATCGGAAAAGATCTCCAAGGACGCCAATTACTGTTTACACAAACTTCTTCCTCCGCAGATAAAATGGATATGACGTGACCGAAGCCATGATAAAATTCCTCCTCGTGTTAATTAGGACTGAACGTTTTGAGGTAGCTTTTGTAAAAAGTTGACTATTTGAATTTTTATTGATCACAACAGATTCTTTTACATTTTACACATTTTGTAAAACCTTGTTCTTCGGTTGTTGTATCATTATCAATAAGGACTTCCATCTGATAAGGCTGAGTACAAATTTGAACGAGCTTGCCCTGAGAGCAACTCTGAACCTTAAGGCGATCGAGCAAACGGTTAATGTAGAGTTGAATAACGTACATGACTGGTTAACTACAAATAGGTTGACATTGAATACAAAAAAATCAAATTTCTTAATTTTTCGTCCTCGTCAGAAAAAAATGCATTTTTCTCCACAAATAGGTATTTTAGATTGTGAGACAAACCGAAGAGTTAGTTTAGAGCAAAAAAGTTATATCAAATATCAAGGCGTTTTAATTGATCAAAATTTGTCATGGAAAAACCATGTTGACTCTGTTATCGTAAAAATAAGTAAAACAATAGGGATGATTGCAAAGCTGAGGTACCTCGTTCCCTCTACTGTCCTTGTAAATATTTACAATTCATTAATTCTACCTTATATAACTTATGGACTCCTTGCCTGGGGCAATGCGTCAAATGCTTATTTAAACAAGATTTTAGTTCTTCAAAAGCGAGTTTTGCGCTTAATCTATTTCACCGATCGAAGAGAGCATGCCATCCCTTTATTTGCCAAAGCAAAAATTCTGCCTGTTACGTTCCTATATTATGAAGCCGTAAGTAAACTTATGTTTGACGTGCACAACCAGAGGGCTCCCATTAATATTTTGAAACTATTTACTAAAACATCTCATATTCATACCTACAATACTCGATCATCCAAATCACAGCTCTTTAGTACAAAGTACTCTAGACTTAACCTACAAAAAAAGGCTTTCTCGCGTGTTGGTGTCAAAATTTGGAATAAGATACCGAAAGAATTCAAAACGTTATCAAAACATTCCTTTAATAAACAAATAAAAACGTCTTTATTTCAGATATTAGATAATGAAGATTCTTATCTTGATGTTGAAAAGATCTCCTCTAAACTTAAGGACTGCATAATTAAAACAAATTGATCCGATTGCTTTCAGTACTAATTTATTTGCTTCTATACTTTATTGAACAACTATTGATGTATTTACCAGTTATGCTTCTCTTTATAATTTAACAATATCTAACTATTTAGTTTTTAATTTTCTTTATATATTGTAAATAATGTTTGTTGATGATTGACCCGCCTCGAATAGCAAATTTGCTATCTGCGGGTCAACATAATCTAAATTATTTTGTAAGAAAAAGAAAAATAAAGTGTGTAAAGTGTGTAAAGTGTGAACCCTCATCACTTTTTTCGATACACAGGCGCTTCAGCATTGAACGAATGAACTGCGTAGCGTGAAAAACCTGTAAACGATGGCGTCGCTTTGCATCTAGGCCTCTAAGTTAACATTTTGGAATCTGGAGAGGAGAACTGAGGAGTTTGGAACACAGCGTACATTTACATTTAAAAAATTAAGATAATCGAGGAAAAAGCTGTTGTTTACTGCTGTTTTACAATGGATGCGAAAAAACCAAATTTCACATCAACATTTTTTTACTCCACGAGAGAAGTAATGAAATAAAACAACATTCCAAATCTTTGTACATTTAGTTAATTATTTCGCAAGGATAGTCCTTTGTTCAATAATTTTTCCATTTTCTAATTTTAAACTCGAGGGTATCCCTAAAATTTTCAGCTTGTCGATAAGGAGCTGAAAGTTTCCTTTCCTGTGAATTCAATCGAACTGTGAAACAAATAACAAAATAATTCGAAAAGCATCGTAGGCTCGCGGCTCAAACTTTGCGAACTCTGAGTTCGAAGTCAGATTAAGTATTAAGATGATTGTCCGAGCCAAGCCAAAAACTGACCTGCTTCAGTGAGTCAAAGTTGAGAAACAGCTTTTCAAGTGATGATGTGAAGAGCAGGCGTTGTTGACGATAAGTGACCTGAATTCGCCATTTTTAACGATCGAGCACCAGCTTTTTGAAAATGTTTTTAAATTCTATTTGAAGCAGCGTCTGTTTGAAAGTCACCAGTCTGTTTTTACAATTGATTCGGAAGTCGTTTAATTGCATTAGATCCAATCACTTACTTTTGCTATGATATTTATCAGTGAAAATTATCGCAAGCGTACACCATCGTCAACACGAAAAAATGACGGTCCGTAGCTAAAGCTAGCCTTAATTTATTTTATTTATTTTCCCATTACTTACAAAATTACAACAGTTTACAGTGACGGGTACAGGAAAAAAAACAAATTAATGGCGCAGAAACCTAATAGAAATCATTAAGGCTACCTCAAAAGTAGTCTACAGGAACAATAAATGTAGACAACAGACATAAACCCTACTATTTTAGATGCTTTAAAAAGCGCTTTAGGTGTCTGAAGTCCGCCGCTTCGTGGTGTCAATTACATCCTCGTCGGCCGTGATCTCGAATACACAGTTTTTGAGGTCGCACTTCAGAATTAGCTAAAGCGTGATTAGAGGTGCCTTAATAATGATTAAACTCTGTAGTGTGACCACAGCCACTGTAAATAACACCTTAATTTGACAAGAATGGTTCTTGTGTGTGAGGGAATACGGTTTGCTTGCGCATGAACTAACAACAAACTTTAAGAAGGCGAGAAAAAGAACTTACTGTATTTTGTTTCGTTGTCTTGGGCAATTTTGCGATAACTGCTTTGTACTTTTGATTCTAGTACTATTTCTTAGTGATAAGAGAATTAACGCATCACATTGGCAACCAACATGGGCATTTACAGTCTCATTGCCACAAAATGGAGTAATGGCGTTTTCACACAGTTTTGAGTAAAGCTGCATGTGCCCATTAGTTTATTTAACTACGGATGAAAGGCTACCTCCGAGTCGCTATGTATTTCCAAACGGTAAGGGGGTGTGTTTGACTACTAAACAAACGCTGTGTTAGTATTGCCACAGTGATCGGTGCACCTTGACATCATCGTGACGACGTTGGAAGCTTTTGCCACAGTTGTGATTCACAATTAATGGATTTGTTCTCGATATCGATATCCCCCGACTGAAGGACAAACATGGGAAATTTTTAAAGCGTAAATGCTTGAAAATGTGCACGGCTGCTTACGAGTCAATGTCTTTGTTATGAAGACTTTGTCAATAAAGATTTATGGGAATTCAAACAAGGTTACCATTTCTCGGTGAAGGCGGTATGGATTGTCGGCTAACGAGAGTAGACGCAGAGGGAGCTTTTACTGCAGTTGTTGCAAAAAATTAAACGATACATTGTTAGCGTAGGACAGATACACTGTTGGCGCTTCTTTTGAATCAAATAAACTTACTTAGTCAACATTCATTCTTCACTTTTCTATGAGTAAGATAATATACTTTTTTTCACCGCTGTTTGGCATGGCATGCAATTTACCTGTGGCTTTGAATACAGATACGTGATCCGTTGCGTTTCGATAATTTAACCTTTTTCGAGAAGGTATTTCATTTCTCACTTCGTATTTCATAGTCTATAAATGGTGGCATGTACCAAAATGGAACAAGTTCTTTTTTTGTCCTCATATGACTTGGATTGAACGCTTTCAAAATGGTTCTTGATTAAGCGTCAAAAAAAAAGTTGTAGAAAATTTGGTTTTGCACAATATATAGTTTATCTGTTCATGTAGGATTATTTAACCTGTATTTGGACAAAAAAAGGGGAAAATTTGCCGTTAGTTACCCTTTAAACAAGCTTGGCTCGACTGCCTCAATGTGATAAACCACCAACTAATTTACCTTGGGCGAACTTTACGGGCAATACGGGCGACCATTCCATTTTATACGGATTTCGCTGGCTGAGCCTATACTGCATCAACTTCTGGTCAAAATCCCCCCTGGCACGGTATAGCAATCACTAGACTGGTATCCTCATAAGAAAGTTATCCCCTTTCATCCTCAGACATAACGTTTTGACAATGTACCCTAACTTTGTTTTAAAGAAATGTCGACACATAGTTAATGTAGGGAACATGAAACTTGAAAATTGTTAGTTTACGAAGTTCTTATCAAGGCCTACATATATATATATATATATATATATATATATATCTGTATCTATATATAAAAATATATATATATATATATATATATATATAGATATATATAGGGAGTCTGCAAGTCGATTTTCGCGTGGAACAGTGCTCAATACGTTGAAGCAGAGCGGAATAAATATTTTAAGAGGAAAAAAGGACGCAACTACATTTTCCCGACAAGCCTGTTTCGTGAATCGCTTCACTCTTCAGGGGTTTAACTAAATTTAATTAAACTCCTGAAAAGTGAAGCGATTCACGAAACAGGCTTGTTGGGAAATGTAGTTGCGTCCCTTTTTCCCTCTCATAATATTTATATAGATATATATATATATATTTATACACACACACATTGTAGGCGAATACCTTAAGCCTTCCAATAGAATCAAATACAAAAACTCCCAAATTTTGTTCAGCTGGCTCTGATATTCACGTTGCCCAGAAAAGAACAGCTCCGCTGGATTCATTCTGGTCGATTCAGTAAAGGACAGGACATCTTAGCTGCATACGTGTCACCAGTGGAAATATTTTACGCATTTTTTTTTCAACTCTGGCTCGCTTCCAGTCCCCACCGGGCCTCGTTAAAGGAAAACATTAGAAGTTCATGAGCTCTTCCAGGTACGTAACGTCTTATTCTAATCGACATTTTGAAGGAGATAAAGTAAATATTGATGTTTAAATTGTCACAAAGATCTCCAATAGTTGAATGGTTTTGTTAGTGAGAAATGAGAGCAACGACTGTGTATGGTTGGCATTTCAGACTATTAATATTCACTCAAGTAATATAGACTCAAAACATAAATTTCACCTTATTTTTGTATTAGGGATAAAGAGAAACGTTCCTCCATGGGCTGCAGAGATGAATTTCATCACGTTTTTCGCCTATGTTATCCAAACTTACCCCATTAAGGTTTCTGGTGATTACTCTCTGTAATATCTTAAAATTTCCATCAATAAAAAAGAGGTCATTTCATAGCTATCTTCTATCTCCTTAAATCAAAAGTACAAAATAAATCCAATGCAGCTGGTTTTAAGCCTAATGCATCTGCTTGAGAAAGTACTTCCTCAAGATTACACCAAGTTAAAATGGCATATTGAGCAGATCTTACAATTTGCCAATAACTGCTTTTCAAACTCCCATTGCCACAGTACTGTTCCCATCTCTGGTTTGAATGGTCCTTGGAGTGGTGTTGTTGTCATGTCTCAGTCACACTTGAAAGAGATTGAACTGCTTAATCCCATCCTGTTTAACAAACTCTTCAACTCCACCTGAAAGGTAAACAGAAAGAATGAATCCATAATTGTCTCATTTACATGTTAACAAATTGGTGGAGTATAGGGTAATCGTTATGTTTTGCTAACACAAAGACTTGTATGTATAAAAGAACTCACTACTGTCCTCAGGTGAAGGTATCAATTGGGTCTCATCATTACTCTTACAAGGAAGACCAAAACACTATAACCAACTGTACCCTGATGGCATAGTTGCCACAGTCATAGGTTTATGAAATTCACTGACTTTTCCCAGACAAACGTAAAATTTTCCTGATCAACTGAATTAACAATTTCACAAACAACTATTGATGATGGTTTCCAACCCTCCATTACAGCCAGTCTCTCCACCATAAATTTATGCATTCAGCTGGTCAAACACAGTGTACATGAATTGATAGTTCCTTTACATAACAAGGATAATTGATTGATTTTTTAGGCAACCCAACATTAGCTTGTCATTCAGTTCTATGAGTAAACAATTATCTAGTCTCCTAAAATTAAAAAAAAAACACTATGGTTACCAAAGAGAAGATACAGACAATTCTCACATATGTGATGAATCATTGGAAAGGAGAATTGACAGCATGGGGAAGACTTGTGCCTAACTCAAAATGTCAGTAGTTAGGTCTCATTTCATATGTTATTGATGATTATAATTATGATGTTCTTTATGCATAGTTCTGTTCTCCCTTATTTTTCAGCAACTTAACTGAACTGGATGCTGACTCAAAAACTTTTAAGTTAAAACAATTATTTCACCTCCAGGCTCTTCATTTGTACTATTTTTGAGTGTGCTATAATTATTTCCTATCATAAATCTGTAACGTACAGGAATGAACAAAGTAATACTGAACAATCCAATACTTTTTCTGCACGTGCGTGAAATGAACAAAATAATTTTAAAAGATGGAAAACAATGAAAATAGAAGAAAGAGAAAACGTACGATTTCACTCACAAATCAACTTGAACTTGCACAAGGGAAATGATATGCTGGTCAGGAATCTGTCAACTATGCTGAACAATGAAATTGAGTAATATCTTAAGATCTCAGGAAGTGTCACCATCTTTCATCAAGAAGAGGGACATGATAGGATGGTTACTCACTGAACAATTTCATCAGAAGTCTTAACAACGTCTTTAGTTATAAATGCTATTGAAGTATGGGTAAGTGTATTCGAATGTAAATATCTCGAAGGAATTGACAACTTCTGTAAGTGTGCTTACATGGTTACCTATGTAACTTTACACCTACATAAGACACTTTGATAAGTGTTAGAGATAACGCAAATTTTATCGGAAAAGATCTCTGAGGACGCCAATTACTGTTTACACAAACTTCTTCCCCGCAGATAAAAAGGATATGACATGACCGAAGCCATGATAAAATTATTCCTCGTGTTAATTAAGACTGAACATTTTGAGACAGCTTTCGTAAAAAGTTGACTATTTGAATTTTTATTGATCACAACAGTTTCTTTTAAATTTTGCACATTTTGTAAAACCTTGCACTTCTGTTGTTGAATCATTATCAGTAAGGACTTCTCACTGATAAGGCTGAGTACAAATTTGAACGAGCTTGCCTAAGAGCAGCTTTGAATCCTCATTATTTTTTTCAATATACAGTCGCTTCAGCATTGAACGAACGAACTGCATAGCCTGAAAAGCTTGTAAGCGATGGCGTCACTTTGCATCTAGGCCTCCAAGTTAACATTTTGGAATCTGAATAGGAGAACTAGAGGAGTTTGGAACACAGTGTTGCATTAACATTTAAAAAATTAAGATAATCGAGGAAAAAGCTGTTGTTTACTGCTGTTTACAATGGGTGCAAAAAACCAAATTTCAAATCAACAACATTTTTTTACTCCAGGAGAGAATCAATGAAATAAAATATTCCAAATCTTTGTACATTTAGTTACATTGGCAGAAATATTGGACAAGATGGCGGCCGCGCTTGCGCATTTCGTCCATAATGGCGTCCAAATAATATAAGAAACTGTAGGGAAATTTGTAAAATTTCTAAAATATAACAATCAGGAGCTCATGGTCCCGTCCGCTCTCGATCGAGACATATTCAGTACCGATTCTGCTATTCATCAAACCTCTCAGTGACTCGATGAATAAAAACCACTTACTTCCCGAGCCAGTTCTTTTGTCATTGTCCATTGACCTAAGTCGCCATACAGTTCTTCTAAATCCGTCGTTCTCCATCCCAAACACTCGCCTATAACAGGAAAGTGCATCAATGAAGTCAACTGCTCTCGATCGAATTGACTGCTACTGAGTTCGAAGCGTCCAAATATCCTGAAAAATTGCCATGTTCTCCCATCAAAAACTTCCCAACGCGGCAGAATATCCCTTATTTTCCATGTTGAGTAAGTGACGAGACGCCATGTTGAAAACTATGACTGAAATGGTTTAACACGAGCAAAGCTGATCTTCGAATCGTCGGCCATATTTGTTTATGTTCTTGCTGGTAAATAAATTAGTTCTCAGGTCCTTTTAGGAATAAAAATATGCCAGGCGTTCAATGCGAATTCAGTCATCTTGGCGCGAAAATTTAATAAAAGCAAATCAAAATTCTGATATCATGTCATCGCTCTACCTCGAAAAATCCCAAAGATTTCCTTGTAGATCTTCTTTTCATCAAATAGAAGATCTGCGGTGCTCAAATTGTGTAAGTCATGGTACGAAACACGCTTCTTTGCAGATCGAGCCAAGATCGCCGCCATATTGAATTCTCTTGCTATACTATTGTTTCGGAGTGTAATACGTTATACCGCTGATAATTGTTAGCGGGCTCGAAATGTCCTTGATTTCTGGCGATGAACTATTTCGCTAGAATACTCCTTTATTCAATAATTTTTCCATTTTCTAATTTTAAACTCGAGGGTATCCCTAAAATTTTCAGCTTGTCGATAAGGAGCTGAAAGTTTCCTTTCCTGTGAATTCAATCGAATTGTGAAATAAATGACAAAATAATTCGAAAAGCATCGTAGGCTCGCTGCTCAAATTTGCGAACTCTGAGTTCGAAGTCAGATTAAGTGTTAAGATGATTGTCCGAGCCAAGCCAAAAACTGACCTGCTTCAGTAAATCAAAGTTGAGAAACAGCTTTTCAAATGACGATGCGAAGAGCGGGCGTTATTGACGGTAAGTGACCTGAAGTCGCCATTTTTAACGATCGAGCCCCAGCTTTCTGAAAATGTTTTTAAATTCTATTTGAAGCAGCGTCTGTTTGAAAGTCACAAGTCTATATTTACAATTGATTCGGAAGTCGTTTAATTTGCATTAGATCCAATCAATTACTTTTGCTATGATATTTATCGGTGAAAATTATCGCAAGCGTTCACCATCGTGCACACGAAAAAATGTGTCCGTAGCTAAAGCTACCCTTTATTTATTTCATTTATTTTCCCATTACTTATAAAATTACAACAGTTTACAGTAACAGGTACAGGAAAAAAAACAAATTGATGGCGCAGAAACCTAATAGAAATCATTAAGGCTTTAGGCCTGGGCTACCTCAAAAGTAGTCTACAGGAACAATAAATGTAGACAACAGACATAAATCCTACTATTTTAGATGCTTAAAGATGCGCTTTGGGTGTTTGAGGTCTGCCGCTTCGTGGTGTCAATGACATCCTCGTCGGCCGTGATCTCGAATAGACATTTTTTGGGGTCGCACTTGAGAATTAGCTAAAGCGTGATTAGAGGTGCCTTATTGATTAAACTCTGTAGTGCGACCACAACCATTGTAAATAACGCCTTAATTTGACAATAATGGTTCTTGTGTGTGAGGAAATACGGTTTCCTTGCGCATGAACTAACAGCAAACTTTAAGAAGGCGAGAAAAAAAACTTACTGTATTTTGTTTCGTTGTCCTATGCAATTTTGCGATAACTGCTTTGTACTTTTTGATTCTAGTACTATTTCTTAGTGAGAAGAGAATTAACGCATCGCATTGGCAACCAACATTGGCATTTACAGTCTCATTACCACAAAATGGAGTTATGGCGTTTTCACAATGAAGACATTTTGGTTGTCGACTACAAGTTTGACGATAACTTCATTTCATCAATTGTGTTTACGTGAATATCTCCCACAGAATTAAAGCGTGTCCTCAAACAAACAAACAAACTGAGTTGGTGTAATCTCTGCCTTTCAAACTAAATTGTCAAAGCTTTCGACAGTTTAAAAACATATGCAGTTCTTTTTGCAAATTGATTACGGTATCTTGATCGGCGGCTTGTCGGAAACTCGACAAAACTTACACTTAATGCACAGGTTTAACACTACTGTTGAGATGACTTGTTGCAAAGGCAGTCCAAGCATCATTATTCATTTCAGATAGATAGCTCGCTTCCTCTACATTTCGTTTGAGGTCAAATTCGTCAAAACAAGAAATTCATTGGACTCTTTCTATGCTCCCTGATAAAGTCTCAATCAGTAGGTGCGTGCGTAGCATTGAAACTTAATATCATAGGCTAACCAGGCCCTATTGAAGCGAAACTAAGGTACTGTAAACATGCAAACAAACAAACTCGATTGATCGGCGTAGCTCTGTGAATAGGAAATCGTCTTATCGGTGGTAAATAGTATTTCATCGACCCAACAGTTTTTGGCATTATGCATGAGCTAGTCTAAGGGACAGATGCGTAAAAATTCTAAAACCATCTTTACAGACCTTAGCTCAGTTATTCTCCAGGCTCTCAACTCGAGTTTGTACGAAGACGACTAATTAATTGAAAGCCGCAAACTATTTGCGCTTCGGTTAACGTATGTTGTTCGATCTAGTAATAAAATTTTCTTTCCAGATCTTTATTACATTTATCGGCAAAAATCAGCCTTAACATCCCGTGTCACTGATGGCCATTAACGTCTTCACTGAATGTAGGAACTGCATTTTGATAAATAAAAATAAAGCCAGACGACGAAAGCAGTACAAAATGAAACGCCGTTCAGAGAATTCTTGAACTATAAATCTTTAATATTGCACTGAAGATGAAAGAGGATGGTATCAAAACCACATTCCAAAGTTGATATGAAAAATATTGTAAAACTTTCGATCAAGAATTGAAAATATGTGGAAAGATCGTTGAGCTAATGTGTAGAAATAACGCGCGCATCTACTGAGCAGACTATCTTGGTGACACGTAACTTTGTTTACTTAGCTTTGAAAAATTCGTTTTCACTTTTTGTGTACTTTGCATTTATTACCGACAAATATAACGCAACAAGAGCAAAACATTTCCATACTCAAGTGGGTCTTGAATCACACAGACCGACACTTGTATTATGATGAGGCCAATTACAGTACATGCCGCTGTTGTTCCGCATAAAAGGAAAGAACTCCTTTTCTGGCTGGCTTTAGTTCTTTCCTTCAGATGTAACTTCGCTATCACCCAAAACTACCAAGTGGAGTCCCTGGATGACACCAGAAACGCGTTGATGTCCTACGCCACTGGTTCCTCGAAACCTGGAGGTAAAGTACATGACTGCCTTTGAAAACTGTAAAAAAAAAAAAGAAAGGAAAAATCATCTTTTCACCACAGCAGCAACGACCTTAATCAAATAGTAAAAACTCGTGAAATTAAGCGAAATTTAGATGGCTCAAAAGCGTTATTCTCTCTTCTTTATCGCTGGTTTTTATGTTTCTTGCATTCCACGACATTTTTCGTCGGTATACTCGGAGGCAAATGAGGAAAAACTTAAACAGAACTATACTGGTGCGTTTATCGGCCTTATCCGAAACTCAACTGCATCTCCCAAACAAGTCAAAATCTTATAAATGTTCTAAAAAAGAAATGAATATCATCAAAAATTATCCTCGAAAAAATTCAAATCATAAAAAAGAAAGCTACACCATTACAACTTTACTTAAAGACCGCGCAGATATGATGCAAAAAATGGGAAAGGAATGTAATTTTCAAATTCATTTCAGTTCGACAAGAGATCGTCATCTTCTACATCTTCTGTTCTTATTTCAGCCTAGTGGCATTTTTTTCACAGAACAAATTAAAACTGTGAGTTGAATTGAGTAAAATTAAGATGTGTAGTATTTTACTGTTTATCGCGGATCTCACTCTGTGCTATTTTTAAAAATTACCACAATCTCTTCTTTTTCATGATATCTCGCTGCCCTGCGATATACTTTACTTCTCTAATATCCCTTAAAACCCTCGGTATCTCTTGCACCTCGGGTCTCCTTGACATCTGTCAGTGGTCTTTCTACCATCTCTAATCTCCGTTAAAGCTCTTGTCTCTGTGCTCTCTGTAATCTTCCCTAAGATTTCTGGTGTCTCTTCCAGTTCTAGCATCGCTCTAAAGTCCATTATCATTGGTGTCTCCCTAAAATATTTAGTCTCGTTGCTAAATATGGTCTCCCTTCCATCTCTGGTCTTTCAAGCATGTCTGCTGCCTCTGCAGGTAATATTTTCTCCAACATTTATAGTCCCTCTTCCACCTCTTGATGATCTCTCTCTACCATCTGTAATCTCTTTGCCATCGTTCTCAATCCCCCAGATACGGATGTCTGAACTACTGATCTCTTCTCTCTCTCTATTCGCTAGTCTCATCTCTCTACTTGCCTTCTCTAACTTCTCTACCTCCTGAGACTCTTTCTGCCATATTTCTTGTTTCTGTATAGGTTCGTTGTTATGTTAGTTCCTAATACCATCTCCTGCTCGGATTTCTTCTCTCGTTTCCTTGCTACCTCCAGTCTCTCTACCATTTATGATCTCTTACATATCTCCCTATTATCTTCTGTCGTTGTGCTTTTCCTGGTATTTTTCTCTATATCTGGATAATTTTTGGACTTTTCTGTACATTTTGTCTATCGTCTTCATGTTGTTTCTCTATCATCTCTGGTCTCTCCCTTTCATATCTCATCTCTCCATAAGGTGGATCTTTTTTTTCCATCCTTGTTTTCTCTCTGGTCTTGTGCCTGCCTCATGCATCTTGCTTCTCCATACATCTTGCCTCGTTACCACCTTCTTGCCATTCTGTTGTATCTTGTCACCCAAAACCTTCTTTCACCTTGACCATTTCTAAATTCCCTTCCATCTCTGGCAACCTTGCCATCTTTAGTACCCCTATTCATTTGTAGTCTCTGTGAAATATTGGGTTTCTCTTCCTCTGATCTTTTAACCACAATTTTAACCATAATTTTTTGTTTCTCAGCCACTTTCAGTCTTTCTTGGAGAAATGTTTTATAATGAGCCCAGAATATCTAGGAATGTGCCTTCTGATGCTTAGTTACGCTAAGACGGATTTATGGACATAAAATGAAGTAGCCTTCCAAGAATATCTATACAAGTGGAGCTCATTTCGATGTGTTGTTGTTATCTCTCGATGAGCTCTTAATAAAGTTGTGTGTTTCACACTACCAGTGACCACTACCTTCTCTAATCTCGCTACCTATAAAGGCCTATAGCTGGTCTATGTACCAGTTATAATCGTCCCATCATGTCTGGTCTCTAAATCACCTCTAATGACTGAACTGCCTCTCACATTACTGTCTCTTGGACTTCTACCATCTCACAATCTCTGCTATCGCAACTGAGTCTTTCAATCACTTCAAAGTCTCTATTTTGTTTTTCTCACTTCAAGTGGTTCTAGGGACTCTAACATCTCGTGCTCCTCACATTTCTAGTCCTTCTACCATCACCTGTTTCTACAATTTCTAGTAACTACACAGTCTCAGGTCTCTCCACCATCTGTGGTCCATCAGCCATCTTCG